TATATATATAACAGACAATACCGTACTATATATATATATATATATATATAAGACACAGACAATCCGTATATATATATATATATATAAGACACAGACAAGACACCGAAACGCGTTCTGGATAGTATTATTAAAGTAAAGGAGGGATGGGGGAAGGGAAACGGAATAAACGTCCTTGAATATTGAATGAATTGTAATGGTCCCGTCGGCAGTGGAGGTCAGAATCCTCGTAGTGCATTGAAGGTGGAATAGACTTATGTACGAATAGAGCCACAACGAATAAACGTATATAACGTACACACACGTGCATACACCCTCTGGTTAATGCTGCCCACAGGCTTAACTACGTATCTATAGGGAATGAGGTGGTTGGTCAGACCCATGACCACCGCCTCGGTCTTCGCCAGATGCTCTGGTGAGTACATACAACACGCGTGTGTACGCACACGCAGGTCTCTACAACCAGGTAGCCTCGTAGCTGTAACCAATCTACATATAAATAGATGCGACAAACTACACACACACATATATATATATATTATACATACATATATATATATATATATATACATACATGCATATATATATAAATATATATATATACCCTGGCTTCATACCTACCCCCACACTTACCTGCTTACCCAAGAACTTGGGGTGATTCACCAACTCCATAACCACCGCATCGGCCACCTCCAGATTCTCAGGCGAGTTCTCATGCGTGAACGTGCACGTGTACTCGCACTGCTTCTCTACCACCACACCCGCAGCAGCCCAGTTTAGCTTGGCACTGGTAGGATCCTCAGACCCCCACCCAGGCCACACACCGGTGTTCCAAAGACCCCCCCCTGTCGATAGCACGACCAGCGGTTTGTGATCTTTCCTCCGCACACCTGTGTGTGTGTGTTGGTATGTATGGTGTGATGAGTGGGTACTTGTCCTTATGTAACCTGTGTGTGTGTTTATATATTTGTTTGTATGGTGTAAGTATGTCTATGTGTGTGTGCATATATTGGTATGTATAGTGCAAGTATGTGTGTGTGTGTGTGCCTAGTATAAGTGTGTGTGCGTGTGCATATATTGGTATAAATTATAGTGTCAGTATGGCATGTTGTGTGGGTAGTTGTCCTTCGGTAGTCTCCATAGGTGTACGTGCAGGGTAGGCGTAGTCACACACACTCTGCGGTGTCTGTACTTGTCATATAAGCGATGGAGGTCTGTTTACCTAGACGCGTATGGTTGTATATGATATATGCGGTTTAGGGTTTAGGGTTTAGTGAGTATGTGTTGTGTGAGTTTTTTTGGAATAGGGAGACTATCCATTTCATCACTCCTCAGACTTTTGGTCAGACTACGCACGCGCCCATCTTGGATGTAAGATGTCTATGCATACGAAACTACACGTTTTAGGATTCCTGTACCTGAAATCTACATTCTACCCGTTTCATGAACTCCTTCGGTGACAGAAACAAAGTATACATATGTATACACATACACACACACACACACACACACACACATAATGTATATTTATTTAAATACATAAATATAAACATGTGCGTGTATGAACATACAAATACACATACACACACATATAAATATATATATAAACATGGACAACATATGCGTGTAGGTATCCTTTCGTGTACTTCATCATATATACCATTAGCTTCCATAAACTCTTTCGGTTGGGGTGGCAAATCGCGATACATGGCGTCGTTATCCTCATCAATAACAAGTGTATCAGGCAAATATCCGTTGATCTGTTTTTGAAAATAAATACACGAGCGGAAGTAGGGTGCAGGTAGATGAGCTATAGAGTTACATAAGCCAATCGAATACAGCGAATATATGTTCTGTGAGTGAATAACTGTCTGTCTATACATATGACTGTGTAAAAGTATAGAATAATATAAAAGGACAAGAATACGAAACAGACATATATTAATCTGTATACACTAACAAATATACACATACATATACCTATACATACATACATATACTCAAAAGTTAATACAAAGATAAATTTATATATAGATGTGAATAATATATATATATATATATATAAATACATATATATATAGCTTATATACACATTCACACACACACACACACATATATATATATACAAATATATATATAAATAACATATACACATACACACTTGCATATATGTAATATTATATATATATATATATATATTTATAACTTAGATACACATACACACACACACACACACACACACACACACATATATATATAAATATATAAACATATAGACATACATATACGCACATACATATATACATGCATACAAATGTGCACAGACACATAAAACACACACACACACACACACACACACACATATATATATATATATATATATATATGCGTATATATATATAATATATATATATAATCATACATATATATATATATAGAAATATATATATACATAAATATGAGTTATCAAAGATTCAACTGTTGATCTACTTACAAACGCAAACGAATGAATTATCTCAAAGTAAGACATATTCTCATATTTAGTCGAGCAATTCAACTCTACCTTTTCTCTCATATACGATGGATTCTGGTTGCCGTTACTAAGGAAGATGGAGTCTATGATGTACATACATCCTCCAGCCACAAGCAGCCAGAAAATCCTCGATGTCCAGGATTTATTTCTCCTAAGGGATCGTGACCTCGCAAACGACATACTTGTAAGTTCTTAAGAAAGTAGTACTACTGTAGTTGATCTTACTCGCTCGTGTATGTGAACACAGTGCACCTATAGTTGATATATCATGCACGCCTTCTCTCTCTATAAAGCAATCTAGAATGTTGTGGGTACGTGGATCAATCCCTATTGTATGTAAATATTTACTTTAAGAGTATTTTAACACAGATGGAATAATGTTTGCAGTATTGTTATACTGCTGAATATGTACAGATTGTGCTTACTGTTGTGGTTGTCATGTTCCGTCTCCATGGAGCCACATACCACAACTCTACGTATCAGGGCTTTATAGGTATGTACCTTCTTTTTTTAACAACCCTAGTCCTATTTGTAGATTATGGGCCAACACTAACCATAGGGTTTATTAAAAAAGATCTATCTGTTCTATTTTCAGGAGGCTATGATTGTCTTTGGTCTCTGGCTATGATCTATCAGGGATTTATACCTTTTTCATATTTAACCCGCTAAATTCAAATTGAACCCCTTTGTGTTCAATTTAAGAGGCTATGGTTTTGTTTAAAAAAAACAACAACCCTATTTCTATTTATAGAATATCGGCCAACACCAAACATAGGGGGGTCTTTGTTTAGTAAAAATAATAATAAAAGCAAAATGTCCAGAGTCCACTCTCCAGTCTCCACTCTCATAAGTTTTAATCCCTACTACAGATGTATGTACTCTAAATAAATATTTAAATAGTAGAGTCTCCACAGAGTACAGACTGTCTGACAGACCTGTCCGCGGCCCGCCCCACCGGCTCCACACTGACTGTCCTCACTCTCCAGTGTGTTCACTGTGTTGTTGTCACCAGTCTCAGAGTCGGTCAGTCTATCACCTGTGGGCTGTGGGCCGTTGGCCGTGGGGAGTGGGCTGTGACCCAGTCATTGTGGAGACTGTGCAGTGCGCAGTGTGAACACACTGTGGAGTGAGGGCCGTGGTCTGAGAGTGTTTTTAGGGCGAGTCCTAAATCCTAACGGTGTACATGGTCTGTGACAGTTGCTTTCTTTCTGTCCAGTTCTCAATTTCTCATGAGTTGTCTGGCCAGTCTGGTGGTCCTGTGAAGTGGACAGGGGGCACGCTGTGGTAGTCTGAATTCTGAAGTAGTCTGTGAGTGTAACTGTTGCCTTCTTTTCTGTCCAGTCCTCATGTCGGTTGTCCCGAGTCTCAAGTTTTTTTTGGGCTTGTTCCTGTGAGGTTGTGAGGCTGTCACCTGAGAAGAATTTACTTTACCATAACCTCCTGAAAAAAGAACGTCTCACAGTCTCACACTGTCCAATTTTCAGAAAATAACCATATAAAATACATAAAATAGATAAAACCAAAAACAACAACTAGTCGGACTGTCGGACGACGGACAGAAGTGTTTATTTGTATTTGTTTTTTGAAATAAACAAATACGTATGTATGTACAAGAGACCTAAATAGGCTAAAACCATAGCCTTCAAAATCAGACACTAAAAGTCTAAAACACGAATGAAGTTAAAAAAAAACGATCAGCCAGTCAAACGCAGTGTCACTCACGGTCCACAGAGTCACAGACCGGGGAAGTGGCAAGGCCCAAATACTCTGTCAGACGTATTGTTTTAAAATAACATAGTAAACGTTTTTAAAAAAACGGATAACATATGTATGTACTGCATGTATTCTCAAGATAGTCTCAGGCAAACAAATTGCGTTAAAAATGTGAGCGTATATTCACTTTATAAATACATAATTATTTACAATTTTGTTTTCTTTAAAAAACATACTATTACTTAGAGTGATACCAGTCATATCACTCACCACTGGGATCAACTGTTATCGAGTGAGCAAGTGTTAATGATTTTTACGTTGAAACGTATATAAATAATTCAATCAGGGTCGCGTCTACGTTCAACGTTTCCTGCAAGATACGTGACGTATTTAAAGTAGCACTCTGCTCTCTCAGAGACTACTACTACTCTTGAAGTAAATAGTAGTAGTATGTAGTAGTAGAGTAGGCGAGTGGGTGCTGGGTACTGGGCCAGTAACAGTCAGACAGTCACCCGTGGCCGTCACTGCCCGTCAGTGGGGTCAGGGGATCTACAATATCTCTCTTCGTACTTTGTTTTTATTGGTCCACATTCCTGACAACACTACACTGTACTCTTCATCGTGTCAAAGCTGTCTCAAATTAATACAACGTCCGCTATCGCAAATACAACAGTTTATTTTAAAGTACTGTAATTAGATACTTTGATCGGTATCTATTTAAAACAAAATATAATTTAAAACATGTCATGTGGATCATCTCGGGAACGATTTGCCTGACAAGGTGATTGAGTCATGCATATTTCATTTGCACTTTTTTTACAGACGAAGGCTTTTTTAAATATCTTTCTCCTTGACCTATGCATAGACTATAGAGGTGAAATTTAATATGTATGTATGTATGCTACATATATGTCTTCAATATACATTTAAGTATGAACATATATATATAAGACGTATACATGCAGCTGTCACCTCACTTTATAAACTTCCAGTTTTCACAATACAAGAACCTACAAGTTCGAACAATTCAAAAGTGAGTGGTGATATATCAGGACAGCACGTACGTACTATAAATATAAAGTTATACATAAACACATCTTTATAAACTACAAAATATGCCTGTACCTACGATGGATGACAACAAGCTCCTTATCCTTTACGCATCCCAGACCGGCACTGCCGAAGCCGTAGCCGAAGAGCTGTCTGAGCGAATCACTGATGAACTCAACATCAAACACAGAATAATGTGTGTAAGTAAGGCTTCTACTGAGTTTAAGATCACGAAAGAGGAGTTGGTAGTGTTTGTAGTATCCAGTACGGGCGATGGCGATCCCCCAGACACGGCGACCAAGTTGTGGAGACAGTTGCGATTGAAGAAAGTAGGGGATTCAATCGACTTATCCCAGTTGAGCTTTGCTGTATTGGGTTTGGGAGATACTAACTATAGGTATGTATGTGTACACGACTATGTCACCATATCGCATGTGACCTGTTGTATGTATAATTACGTTCGTGGTTGCCATAGCTTGTAGCATTCAGTGCCAAGGCAGGGCGATGAAGTTGTGGAGACAATTACGATCGAAAAAAAGTGGTAGATTGACCGATTTGAGAAGCCTGAGCTGTGCTGTTTTGGGTCTGACTGACACTATTATAAGTATTACAATATGCACATATATATAAACGCACACATACACGCACACACACACACATACACACACACACACACATACACACACACACACACACACAC